TATATATTCAACCATTTCAAGAGGTAATATATATATATATTGTTGTTGTTGTTGTTAAGTGCTGTCGAGTCGGTTCCAACCCATAGAGACCCTGACTAGGGAGCAGAAAGCCTCATCTTTCTCCCACGGAGCGGCTGGTAGTTTCGAACTGCTGACCTTGTGGTTCATAGCCCAATTCGTAACCACTACACTACATATATATATATATATTGGTACAGTGTCTCTGTGTGTTCCTCCTACCTTCATTTGATGCTTTCTGCATCATTCAATATTTTGCCCATAGAATCTTTCAATATTGCAAATTTAAGCTTGAATTCTCTTCAGTTTTTCAACTTGAGAAATGTTGAGTGTATTCTTCCCTTCAGCTTTCTAACTCCAGGTTTTTGTTCTGTTCAGTATAATATTTTGCTTTGTTTTCTTGAGTTGCTCTTTGAAATTTTCTGCTCAGCTCTCTATTTCATTCCCTTTAACTCTCATAGGCTCAAGTGCAAATTTCAGAGTCTCCTCCAACTTCCATTTTTGTCTTTCCTTTCTTTCCTCTCATTTTTTATGACCATATACATTATTCCTGTATGATTTTCTTGATATCTTCCCACAACTCTTCTGGTCTTATGTCATTAATGTCTATTGCATGAAATCTACTACTGTTGAGGTGGTTTTTAAATATATGTGGGATATGTTCAAGGTCATATTTTGGTTCCCATGGAATTGTTTTAATTTTCTTCAGCTTCTCACTGAACTTGCAGAGGAGCAATTAGTCTATACCACAGTCTGCCCTTGGCTTTTTTTGGAATTATGATGTTGTGATTGTACATCATGTCTTCCCACAGATGTCAATTTGATCCATGTGTTTTCTATTGGGTGAAGTTCATGTGTATTCAAACTCAGCAACTGCTCCTCAGAAGCCCTATACAGGGTTGCTAAGAGTCAGGACTGACTCAACAGCACTTAACAAGAATAATATACATTACTAAGCATTTTGTCCTTCTTTAGAGGCTGATCCCTTCTAATAACATATCCAAAGCATGTGAAATGAAATCTTACTATCCTCACTTCTAAGAGCATTCTAAAGTGCAGCTGGAAACAAGCATTTTGTTTTGTTTTGTTTGTTTATTTGTTTGTTTTAAGTGTACTCTGCTTCAAAAGACCACTTTGAAATTTTCAAGCACCAATATATTAGCTTGAGGGCTAAAGTGAGCCTGTCCCAATCAATGATATTTTTAATTGCCTCATACGCATGTGAACCTTGGACAATGAATAAGGAAAACTGGACAAGAATCAATGCATTTGTACTATTGTGTTGGAGAAGAATATGAAAAGTACCATGAACTGATGGAAGAACAAACAAATTATGTTGTATGAAGTACAGCAAGAGTGCTCCTTACATGCCAGGTTGTTGAGACTCTGTCTCTCATACTTTGGACATGTTATCAAGAAGGACTTGTCTCTGAAGAAGGACATGGAGTTTGGTAAAGTGAAGGGTTGGTGAAAAAGAGAAAGACCCCAAGGAAATGGACTGATACAGTGACAACAGCAATAGGTTCAAATACAACAACAATTGTAATGATGACACAAGAATGTGCAACATTTTTTCCTGTTGTGCATTGGGTTTGTTTGAGTTAGAAGTGACTTTAAGGCATGTAACAATATTTACTTCCCTTTTTCAATATTGTGAGATCTCAAAAATATATGTAAACTCTAAAAGCTGATTTCCCAAAATTTTAAAAGCATGTGAAAACTTAGAAAGTATGAATTTGTACACATGTGTTGACAAAAGGAAGAGACAGAGAGAAAGGGAAATGGAGTGAAAGAGAATTTCAATGTGGACATACAGGAATAAGCAAAAACTCTGTCATACTTGGAAATCTCATCTCTTCAGATTTTTTCCTTTTATTAGTTAACTTTGCATCTTTGTCCTTTTTTAAGTGTACAGGCAAAGAATATCTCTTCCTTCTTTTCTTTTGTCTCTCATTCCCAAGCCATCTAGTCCAACAAAGTTAACTGCTAACAACAAATAACTGGGTCCCAGTCATGATACTGTAGGTCAATGTTTTTATTGGTCTGTCTACTTCTACACACCTAGGTTGCTCTTGATAGTGATCCAAATTTGGGTTGTAAATGTCTGTCTTTTATTCTCTTCATTTTTTATTTCAGATTTCCTGATGGTTGATCTGACATTAATCCAGGATAACATTACTTTTACTATTCTTCAGAAAGCCTTGGGTTGAGTTGGAAGGATTTTATAAATTCTTTCTGTCAAATTGTAATGTTTGGGGGCCACCAAAGAAAGTAAAGTCATGTGCAGAAAATGCCCCAAAACTCAGAGCCATTACAATGGAGAAAAATTAGAGTCACTTAAAAAAGATATGTTTAGAAATACTTCAAGAAATATGATTTATTTTAGCTTCAAAGACATATTTTAAAATATTTTTTGTTGTTGAGAAAACACAGCAGAACAAACACTAATTCAACATGTTTTACAAGAAAAATTCAATGACACGGATTACATTTTTTATATTGTGCAACCATTCTTTCTTTTTCCTAATTGTTCCTCTCACATTACCATAAACTCACAGCCCACTAAATTTCCTTATCTAAAATTTTGAGTTGATGTTGTCAGTTTGATCTTATATAGATATTTCAAAGACATATTCTTGCAGTGTTACATAAGTTTCTATTCTGCTCTTCCCAAAGAAACTTTCTTCAAACATAAGCATAAAGCATAGAATCCTTAGGATTAACTATATGTGTTCTATGCATTTTACAGGAATTGCTCAATATTTTTTTAAATTTTTTTTTATCTTGCTATTTTTTAAGATGATAATTCAAAAGTCTCTACTATTATCTTAATACCCAAAGGAAGTCATTGAAAATATTTTAATTTAGATTATCAGTCAATCAAAAAACAAAACAAAAAAGACCTTTGATTCCAAATCAAGGAACTCCTCAAAGACAAACTACTGATTAAATACAATGGATGATCATGATTCACAGAGATCAATCAAATTGGTGACAAAGAGAAAGTTGGATACCTAATTTAAAATGTGCTATGTTGTTGTTTTTAAGTGCCTTCTAGTCAATTTTTATTCCTATTGATACCTTATAGGGTTTCCAGGGGGCAACTTGTAGATTTGAACTGCAAATCTTGAGATTAGCAGTCCAGAATTTATCTTATAGTACCTGAAATTTGTTTTAGATAGAATTACTTGCATTTAGTTTAGCAATTCTCACAAATTTGCATAGCTGTGATTGTATAAATAACTTTTTTATCAAGTCAAAGTATGATGGTGGTGGTGGTTATGTGCCATGGCATTGGTTCCAACTCATAGAGACCCTGTATAGGGTTTCCAAGTTTGTAAATCTTTACAGAAGCAGAAAGCCTTGTTTTTATTCCATGGAACAACCAATAGTTTGGAACTGCTGACCTTGGAATTAGCATTCTGACTTGTAACCACTACACTACCAGATCTCCAAACCAAATTGCATATATTCAAAATTATGATTCATGAAGGGGGTTAAAAAATCTACAGAAATATTACTTTATCTTTTAAGCCAGTTTTTTTCCCAAACCTTTGAAGTGTCCTCACATAGTACATATCAAGCAATGCTGAAATTGAACACTTAAGAAGAGATTGAGTGCTCCTCAGGAAATTTGTTCCTCAGAAAATCTATACAGGATCACTATGAGTTGGAACTGACTCGATGGCACTTAACAACAGTAATGTTATTTTGGTCCAAAATTATCTTACTTATTATGACATTGTATCTAGGTCTGATACAAATATGATGTCAGACATTCATCTTACCAATAAGCTAGAAAAAAATACTAATTCACCACCTTATGTAAAATAGATTATTATACAATAATCACATACTATTATATTTGATATCTGTACAGTTTCAGTCATATTACTGAAAATGCCATTATAGCCTCATTTCTTCAGTTGCTTTCTGTGGTTTTGACACTCCATAATTTTCTCATGGCATTTTTAACTTCTGTATTTCTGAGGGTGTAGATGATGGGGTTGAGAAAGAGTGTCCCAATGGTATAGAATACTGTCACCATCTTGTCCATTGGTAAAGTGATTGGTGGACGTGTGTATATGAATATACATGGACCAAACGATAAGATGACTACAATGACGTGAGTGGTGCAAGTGGAAAGGGCTTTTTTCCTCCCTTCTGCACTGTGGTTTCTCAGTGAATGCAAGATAACAAAGTATGAGATCATCAGAAGCAAGAAACTGCTTGAGCAAATGACCCCACTATTGAACACTAACTGTAGATTGATCATATAAGTGTCCATGCAGGCAAGTTTTAACAGTGGATGCAAATCACAGCAATAATGATCAATCATATTGGGTCCACAGAATGGCAGTTTCAAGACCAGGACAATCTGAGATGTAGAATGTATAAAAGACCCTATCCAGGCAAGAATAATCAAGATGATGCAGACCTGCCGTCTCATAATGGTCGGGTACCGCAAGGGCTTATAGATGGCCACATAGCAATCTGCAGCCATGAGGGTAATGACAAAGATCTCCATGCTGCCAAATAAATGCAGTACAAAGACTTGTGTCATGCATTCATTGTAAGATATAACTTTCTTTGCAGAGAGAGCATCTGCAATTAGTCTGGGGGCTGTGGAAGTTGAAAAGCAGGTGTCAGCAAAGGACAAGTAAAATAGGAAGAAGTACATGGGACTCCCAAGTGTCCGACTGAATTTGATGGTCACAATGATGAGCAAGTTCCCCATCACAGTGCCAACATAGAAAATTAATAAGGTTATTAACACCATTTTCTGCCTTGTAGGATCTTGTGTCAATCCTAGCAGCATGAACTCAGATACACTTCTGTTTTTCTGCATGATTTCCATAACTGTAGGAAAAGCAGAGGTTAGAAATGTGAATCTGTAAGGAAAAAGCATGTTGTGTGATAACTACTGTATTTGTAACTTAAATACTTATGCCTGCTCATGGAATTTCATTTGGGTAATCATTTACTTCTTCATGCATTGACTTTTTATGAGTAAAGAAGAATTAATAAAACTGATTCATTTACCTTGTTATATTGTTGTTGTTAAGTAAGTTCCAACTCATAGAGACTCTGTCTAGGGTTTCCAAGCATCAGATGTTGAGCTTGAACTGCTGGCCTTCCAGTTCAAACTATCCTTGCTGACCAGCATATTAACCCACAGTGCCACACCTTGTTACATAGCAGGTTGTAACAGGAAAATAATGAAAAAGTAAGTGGTTCTTCATACGAATACACATCAATATTAAACGTTTGGCATGAGTGGGTAGTTTCCTGAGCTGAATGTGCTTTTTGGTTTTCAGCAATCACCTATTAGAAGTGTTGTTAAGTACCATCCAGTCAGTTCTGGCTCATAGCAACTCTATATAGGGTTTCCAGGGAGTGGCTGGTGAGTTTGAACTGCTATCCTGTAGTTCAAACCTAGCTTGCAGTACAGTGCTTTATCACACAGCGCCACATCAGGACTCCTTACTAGAGGTAGTGTGTTGCAAAAATATAGAAAATATGGATGTGGCTAATTTCAAAGTGCTTTCATAGTTTTCAAACCTGATAGTCCTGTTACAGATTTTTTTTGTACTACGTTATCAAAAGTTATATTCTCCTTATGCATAATTTCCCTGATTCTTTCCATACAGTTTCTTAAGAAACAGATACAAAAAAACAACAACTGTGGTTAAGGAAATGACAGGATCCTTATATCAGAACATCTTTACAAATTTCAGGTTTACAGCTTACACACTAAGATCATAGAAAAGAATGCAAGAAACTCTAGGCCATAGCAGAAGCTTTCCAATGTAATTCTTGTAGTGTATGTTTTTGATTGTCTTATATCCTGACTTCAAGTAGGAAAAGTAGAAATAAAAAAGATAACAATACTTGTATCTAACAATATGCTTAATTATGTGCCTGACCCAAGGCATTTTAAAATGCCTTCTATGCATATGAAAGCTGGACAATGAATAAGGTAAGTTTAAGAATAATTGATACATTTCAATTATGGTGTTGTTGAAGAACACTGGATATATCGTGAACTGCCATAAGAATGAAGAAATTTGTCTTGGAATAAGACAGCTAAATAGAACTTAGATTAGGTGCAGCTAAAATCCTCCTTAGAAAGGAGGATGACTAGAATTCATCTCACTTACTTCAGACATGCTACACTGGAGGGTCAGCGAATAAGAGGAAGACCTTCATTGAGATGAGCTGACACACAGGCTACCACAATATTCAGAAGCGTAACAACAATGGTAAGGATGGCACAGGAGTGGGCAACATTTCATTCTGTTGTGCATCTGCTATTAAATAGAAGCAACCAAATGGCATCTAACAATAACAAAAACTAATTCCAGAAACTCAACAAAAGTTTTAATGCACGTTATCATTGATTCCCCAGATAGTCAAAAGCAATATTTAAAGCAAAGTAAGTGCCAAACTGGTCCAATATATTTATAACACAAGACAGTAATTATTTTTCAAATAAATAGATTTTACTGAACTAATAATGGACAAAATAATAAATTTTAAGGGACCTTTTCCTTAACTAAAGAATTAAACAAATGAAAAGAAGTTCAGGTTTTTCATACTTACAAAGACATAAAAATTAGAACTATCTTTTCACCTATCATATTAGTAAAACAAATGGATCAATGTTTATGAACATCAAGTAGAAAGCTATCAATGTCACATAGTCTTCATATGAGTCTATGTGAGTGCAATCTCTACAAAGGTACTCTTAAGCATCTCTATTATTGCAACTGCATCCGTCATGGATCCAGTTGCCTATAGATGTATGCACAAAGACAATCATTGTGGCCCTTTCCCTGACAGAAAAAGGTGTGAAACCACTTAAATGTCAATCAGTAGGTCAATGGTGTGGTTCTATAGGATCAGCACTGGACTGCAAACCACAAGGTTGGCAGTTCAAACTCAC